CAGGATACAGGCTTTACTCTGGACACAATTGTAACATCTCGAATACATCACAAATTATGGGCTACCAAGTCGACCAACAGTACCGCACTTATGGAAACCAGCTAATGAGCCTGGTAAAGCGACCCAGAAAACCTGACAAGTCAACACGGAGACCAGTAGACCTCGCCAATGTTAAGAGCATACATGGTGTGAGTAGTGAAGACGGCACCATCGATTCTTTTTGTCCGCTCACTCACACTAGCATATACAACGCCACATCACAAGTACAGGAGGAACTGTACAGGCCGTCCACGCATACACGTGGCCCGGAAGTAGATGCCATGGTACTTATAAACACGTTAACATTCTATCCTGGATACATAGGATACGTTGCGGGCAGTACGAAGAGCAAGAAAGCAGCTGGGGGGTACTCTGTCAGATGAAAAAACCCTAAACCCTAAACATCGGAGTGGTTATCCTGTCAAATGATGACGCAAGATTGCGGTGCAGGATAAGTTGGCCCCGGTTGGATAATATGCATCATGTACACTCGGCTGAGATATCCACGCCATTGCGCAAGCGCAAGCGTACCAATTATCTTGCACTACGATTGAAGGACGGTTCGCTATACGTGATCAATTCATTGCAATCGCCGGAAATACAAGATTGTACCGTCGTAAGGCAATATAATTAAGCAAAAGGAACATTATGAAAGCACATACGACAATTAGACTATATCGACGGCCACTGGGCTAGTAGCCAAGTTTTCTATACGCGTACTATAAATCTCGTAACATGTATTTCAACTCAGATATTGCCTTTTGGTTATCTGATAAACTATCATGATCCGCATCCTATGTATCTGTTTTATTCGGCTGGAGTAGTATTTGTCTGCAGCTGAATGTTTGACATTAGCGGCAAGTAGACGTGTAGGACTGGGGTACAACCAAGTATTATGTCAGATATTCTATGATGATTACTAGAGTATACGTATACCCTACCACCGGGGTTGACAAAATTATGCCATTGCAAAAGTTGTAGCGGCGATCACGGATCAATGAACATCGCTTCACCGCATGGAAAGAAATCAACAAAAAATACACCGTTGTCACATCGATGACAACTGAATGTACACATTGTACATAGTTGTACATATTTATACTTTTTACTTTTTACTTTTTACAGAGGCTTTTATGTTTTATTAAGAGTAGAAAACCTTGTTTTTATATAAAACAATAAGTATAACTGAAAACTCGTATCATTATTCATTCCTCGATATCAACTTCGCAAACTAATTTAAAATTTTAAAATGACAAATTAGTTGGCGACAAACAATGTTGCGGACTGGCGAGTGGCGAGTGGCGTCACCTGAGAGGCTGAGATTCAGAGATTGAGAGTCTCTTTGAACTCTGGGGAGTTTGGAGTCTGGACTCTTGAGTATGGAATTTCAAATTTGAATCTGGTAAAATGAAAATCAGTGATCCCGTACATCCTCTCAGAGTAATCAACTCATATCAACGAAATAAAAACAATTTTATTTTAATTTAGAAGCTCCTTGAAAACTATAATGTTTTTATAATTGTTTTTAAAAACAATAATATAACTAAAACAAAAAACTAGAAAGAAAAAAAAATAAGTTGATACATATTTTACTGTGTTTGA